TGCAGCCATCACTGTTGTTTGGCAGGCTGGGGCTGGATTTGAACCTGCCACCTTAGGTGTATGTGGCTGGCGCCTTAGCCACTTGAGCCACGGGCACCAAGCGTCATCATCCTTAATCATCAGAGAAATGCAAATCAAAACCACTTTGAGATATCATCTAACTCCAATAAGATTAGCCCACATCACAAAATCCCAAAAGTACAGATGTTGGCGTGGATGCAGAGAGAAGAGAATGCTTCTACACTGCTGGTGGGAATGCAAGCTAATACAACCTTTTGGGAGGGAAAGAAGTTTGGAGAACACTCAAGGGACTAAAAGTAGACCTACAGTTTGATCCTGAAATTCCTTTACTAGGTATATACTCAGATGATCAAAAATCATTTTACAACAAAGACATTTGTGCCAGAATGTTTACTGCAGCCCAGTTTCAGCCAAGACATGGACACAGCCCAAGTGCCCACTGACCCATGAATAGATTAACAAACTGTGGTATATGTACTCCATAGAATACTATGCAACCTTAAAAAAGGATGGAGACTTCACATCCTTCATGTTTATCTGGATGGAGCTGGAACATATTCTAAAGTAGCTCAAGAATGGGAAAAAAAGTATCCAATGTACTCAATACTACTATGAAATCAATATATGATCACCTACACATTCATACAAATGGTAAAACATAACTATAGTCCCAGAAAGTAGAAGGAAGAGGAGAGAGAGAGGAAAGGAGGGGGGAGGCGGGAGGAGGGAAGGTATTTGGGGGACCTCACGTAATGTACATGATGCAATGGTATATTTCAAAACTATTAAGAAAAGAGTATAATTGTGATGGATGTGTTACTTAGTTCAATGTAAGCATTTCACATTGTATATCAAATCAGTACAGTGAACTCCATAACTGTATCATTGTACACAGCTATGATTTAATAAAAACAAAAAAAAATTTTTTAAATTAAAAATTAATCAAACAGAAAAACACATCACCAATGATATAACTGCTTTTAGTGAAGGCCAATTATTTTAGTTGTTAGTATCATGCAACACAGTACATCTCACAAATCATTGAGACAAATGACAAGATGATAAGACATGCTGAAGCATACATCTTTATAAGTTATAAAGGCTCAGACTAAAGGAAAATGTTTTCCACCTCGCCATACTTTTTACAAACCTCAAGTAGTTCCTCTTTGTTCTAAATATATTTTTCTTGTTGCAATTCATTTTGTTTCTTGACCGTTGGCAAATCTTTGAATGTGTATAGTTCCCTATCCCCTGGCTCTACTATGGATAATGTATCACTTCACTCAAAGTAGGTAGAAGCACTAGTCTACTGTATTCATAATATAAAATTCTCTATTATTGGAATTTTCTCTTTCCTCCCTATGCATACCCCAGCTTTCAGTGTAGATCTATGGTTGTTAAACTTTGAAACATGTAACAAACTGCTAACATGATCTAAAATTATTTTTTCAAGACAGTTTCAAACTGTCACAGTATAGAAATGTCTAAGACAAGTATTTCAGTCCTCACTAAACATTTTCAAAGTTTACTCCATGGTTATAAAACACTAAGATCAACATTTACCCAAAGGGGGCGATACATACCACTTTTGACCACTGAGATGATTTTAATTGTTATGCAGACAAACATATTTTATTTTAATATAATAGACATACTAATTTTAAGGGGATTAAATTATACTCATTATATTATAAACTAGCCAGCAAATCCACATTTTCAGAGGACATAACTTAGTATGATTACTTCACAAAAATTATGAAAGTCACAGCTAAATGATAAATGTAGGTAACACTGGTTTAGATTAAAATGCTATGTATTACCTCTGTATTTTGATCACTCTTATTTAGATAGCAAATATCCTTACCTGAGAAATCAACAGCACAAACACCATATTGGTGATAGCCCTTTAATATCGACAATGGTTTAATGGTCTCTGTATCCCATACGTGAATTGAGGGATCCCTTCCTACCTAAAATAGAAAGAATTATAAAAGTCAATATATACAATTAAATTATTTCTTTTCATAGCTATCAAAAGTAAATAAGAGGTTTTACAGGCTTTGATTTACTTGCTATAAAAAATATAAAGAACTACATGTATGTGCATATGACTAATTTTCTTTTTTTACCTTTGTTAAAAAGCTAATGAGGCTAGGCTCAGGGTTTCTAGGAATATTCTATAACAATGTGACTCTTTCCCCACATTTCCATCAATATATAGGTGTTATTTAAATCTACCCTATACTTTATCAATAAAGATAATAAATGCTTGCTGAACACCTATTATTGGCAAGGTTTCTGTGCTAGACACAATGAGCACTAAAACATTCAGGTACCATCTGCAAACTCAGTGGGAAAACAGAACATTGTCAATTAAATAAGAACAGATGGTTAACATGCTTAATTATAATGAAATGGTTGTAGAGGGACAATTCATGGAAGAAAAGGTACTAAAGCTGGCTTCAGAAAGAGTAAGACTTGGATATAGAAAGAAGAAAGCAAGCAAATTCTAGACTAGGATAATGGTATAAACAAATATTCAGGGGGCTTAAAGCATCAAGCATGTAAACAAGACCCTGAAAAGACAATTTTACTGTTGTAGCACTCTGTCCTTTATCTTTTAACTTGGTTTATGACGTTCAATATAGCACTAGAGGAATAATTCTTAATATTTATTAAGAATATTAATATTCTTAATTATTCCTCTAGACTCAAGTAATCACTTCTTTTAACTATAGCATAAAGAGATCTTTTATAAAGACAAATCATGAAATAATCAATATAGCTGTCAATTACAGTAAACTTTGAGATTGATTTTATATAAAGACATAACAAAACCAACACCACAACCTGCGAACATTTCACTAAGATATTCAGAAGTTATTTAGCCAAACATTATCAGAGACTTTTACATTTTCTTTTCATAGAACTTCTACAGAATTTGATACTTTTGAGGATTTCCCAATACTACTCTCCCCTGGTTCTCTGGTCTCCTTGACTTACTATGGAGTTTCCTTCACAACTGCATCACCTGTTACTTAATTATAAGCCTCCAAGATTCTATCTTTAATTCTATAGTCTTCTCATTCTACATTTTTGCCCTGCAATATCTCACTTTCACAGTTTCAATGGCTAAACCAAAAAATAACTCCCAAATCCCCTCTCATCATTCCTTTTCTTTTGAATCCAAGACTTTCAAGTATCAATTATCTCCCAGACATCTCACCTAGAAATGATGTCGACAATGACTAACATTCACTGAGAACTGACTAATGTGCCAGAAACTGTTCTAAGCACCATACAAAGGTTTACTAATAATTTCACCAACTCTATGAGATATGCACTGGTTGTGTCCTTATTTCAAGAGACAAGGAAACAGGCATACAAAGGGTTAGATAATTTGCCCACAGCTAATAAATGGAGTTTGGATTTGAACATCATAGTCAGTGCTGGCTGAGGTACAGACAGAATATTACTAAAGCACACTAAGGGCATCTCACGCAGGGATAAAGGGGAGGAGGGAAAGGTGAGGCGAGTTCTCATATATTTACTTAGCCTAAATCTTGAAAGGAGTAGGAATTAAAGTTGAAGAGTTGAATAAAAATGGAGGGGAAGAGTTTTCCAAGAGGAAGGAACTGAAGGACAACATTAATAATGAAATAACAGAAAAAATATTAACTCATCGTTTTTCAGTAAGGGCTAAAATCAATCACATGAGCTCTCTGCTCTCTCTTCCTAGCCCCATTTTCACAACATCTGAAAAGAACTAAACAAACAGAAAAGAAATGTAAATCTTCCTCTTTTAAAACTACTTTTTTTTTTTTTGAGACAGAGTCTCACTTTGTCGCCCTCAGTAGAGTGCTGTGGCATCACAGCTCACAGCAACCTCAAACTATTGGGCTTAAGTGATTCTCTTGCCTCAGCCTCCCAAGTAGTTGGGACTATAGGGGCCCTCCACAAGGCCTGGCCATTTTTTTGTTGCAGTTCTCATTACTGTTTAAGCTGGCCCGGGTGGGTTTGAACCATCCAGCCTCTGGTGTATATGGGCGCGGCCTAAAACTACTTTTGTCTTCTTTTCCTTGTAAAGTGGCTATAAAAAAAACAAAAAGCTGCTTTTGGGAATGTGTTTTACAGCCTTGGGGAGTTTCTAAATGGACAGCAGGGGGTACAAACTAAAGGTCTCAATTCCTACTCAAAACTGTTATCTCAATGTTAGAATCACTGACAGGATTACAATCCCCTGTGATAAGCCTGTGTCCAATGGTGAGACTGCAGCTTATCATCCAGCTGCTAAGAAGACAGAAGGGGAGGATACAATAGTTTCATTGTACCTGTTAATTTGACACAACAATTTCATAGTACCTGTTAATCCTAGCACATTGGAAGTACGTGTTAATTTGGTTAAAAAGCCATAAATCTTCTTTAACTCTTTATAATTTCTAAATAAAAAGCCTAAGGACTAAACCCAAGTCCACAAGCTCACAATAATAGAAACCAAGTAAAAGATGTGAAACGGCATTATACTTGTTGGACAAATGATACATAGCTCAGAAAGCAAGAGCATAGTTTACATGGAGGTAAATAGTAAGGGACAAAAAAGAGAAGGTTGCAGATTTAGACTAAGCTAAATCCCTTAGATTTGCATGCTAATGCACTGAGACAGCCCACAAGCTAATAACAAACATTAAAGAATTTTAAGTCTTTAGAAAGATTACTAGTGGATCAAAAAAATGGATAGTGGCTCCAAACCCATAGCTCAATAAGTAGGGTGCCAGCCACACACACAGAGGCTGGCGGGTTCAAACCTGGCTCGGGCCTGCTAAAACAACAACAGCAGCAACCAAAAAATAGTGGGTGATGTGGTGGGCGCCTGTAGTTCCAGCTACTTGGGAGGCTGAGGCAAGAGAATTGCTTAAGCCTAAGAGTTTGAGGTTGCTGTGAGCTGTGATGCTGTAGCACTCTACCTAGGGTGACGTGGTGCGACTCTTATCTCCAAAAAAGAAAGAAAGAAAGAAAATGGATAGAAATGGACAGGGTTAAATAACTTGAGGTTATTTTGGCTACAATGGTTCAGAAATTACGAAGCACTAATTGTCAGCAGAGACATAGAAAAATTAAAAAATAAAAACTAAAGCAAAGATTATTCAAGGTATTGAATCAACATATATTTGGGTCAAAGAACAGGTGCAACTACTGTTGCATAGTCAGGAATGACTGACTGGCTACAGGGCTACAGAACAATAAGGTGGACTTCCAGGCTTAGGCAATCAAGTTAATATGGTGCCATGTTCTAAGAAGGAAATATACAGGGATAAGCAGGTTTGGAAGAGAAGATTAAATAATTATAGTACAATTTAGTCAAGATACTCAAGTTGAAATACATAAACAACTTGGGAGGTAAGTTTCTTTCAGGTTCTTTTATCTCCACTTAAGATCATAGTTCCTGGCTTGGCGCCTGTGGCTCAAGCAGCTAAGGCGCCAGCCACATACACCTAAGGTGGCGGGTTCAAATCCAGCCCGGACCCGCCAAACAACAATAATGGCTGCAACCAAAAAATAGCCAGGCGTTGTGGCGGACCCTGTGGTCCCAGCTACTTGGGAGGCTAAGGCAGGAGACTCACTTGAGCCCAGGAGTTGGAGATTGCTGTGAGCAGTGAAGCCATAGCACTCTACCCAGGGGGACAGCTTGAGGCTCTATCAAAAAAAAAAAAAAAAAGATCATAGTTCCTGACAATGGGTTGTTCTTTGTACTCTATTCTCCAAAACTAGACAAAACACTCTTTAGATTTGTCATCTAAATTTCAAAACACTCATAAAATGCTTCAGAGGTACTTTATATTTTAAATAATTTTAACACAATTTATTTTAGAAGTCTAAAACTTTATAGAGATGGGACTGGTTGGTTATAATATAACAAAGTTAAGAAATGGAAAACACCAGGAGAAGTATAAAAGGCAGTGAGAGCCTCTGACTTGGGAGAAAAACTTTGCATCTACAGTGCCTAAAGCAGAAATGCTGTTGTGTTGTGTAAGCAAACCTAGAAGAATAGGAACTATACCTTGACAGAGGTGAATGTCCTGTGGCATGCTGACCTTTTATTTAATCTGACCTTAATTCCCTAAAATCAAAGTGGTAGTAAATGGCCACATTTTATACTGCCTTTGTCCCGGTAGTACTAGAATAATGTTCACATTCCTTGCCATGGTACATAGGTACCAACCAAATGTACTTCAAGAAGAACCATTGATATAAACTAATGGTAAATGCTGCCCTGAGCCCTCCACCTACACTGTTGATTAGTTCTTACAGCAATGCCCACGTGTACTCTAATTTGAACAATGTAGGCTACCCACATTTTTAAAAAATAAGCTTTTTTTTTTTTTGGCTCCACTTTTACACATGATATAATACACATAGAAAGCTTTCTCCAACTTCCCCTCTGCCAGATAAACTATTCGGCTCAAATGTCTTCAGGTCTCCCTGATTCTATTGGGCACAATAAATCAGTCCTTCATGGTCAGGCATGGAGGCTTATGCCTATAATCCTAGCACTTTGGAAGACCAAGGTAGGAAGATCACTTGAGCTCCAGAGTTCAAAACCAGCCTGAGCAAAAGCAAGACCCTGACTCCACTAAAAATAGAAAAATTATCTAGGCACTGTGTCAGGCACCTGTAGTCCCAGTTACTCAGGATGCTGAGGCAGAGGATCACTTGAACCCAGGATCAAGGTTGCCGTGAAACTGGCTGATGCCACAGCACTCTAGCATGGGCAACAGAGTGAGACGCTGTCTCAAAAAAAAAAAAAAAATCATTCATTACATTGCTACCAGACTTTGTATATATCTCTACATTAAAAAACAAAAAACAACCCACCCCCCAAAAAAACAGGTGATTTTACCTCCCAGAAGGTATGTGGCACTGTCTGGAGACTGTTTTTGGTTGTCACAACTCAGGTTGTGGGTGTTACTGGCATATAGTGCACTAAACATCCTATAGTACGGTCAGCAGCCTCCCACAACAAAGAATTATCTGGCCCAAACATCAACAGTGCTAAGGTTGAGAAGTCCTGATCTATACTTGTTACACTGTATCACGGTTTTTCTTGCATCTGTGTCTTCCCCCTCAGAATATGAATTTTCACCATGGCAAGAGAATAACTTATTTATCTTTATATTCCCAGAAAATTTCCTCATATATAAAATGTGCTTGATGAATATTCTTTGAATGAAGGGAAGATAGGAGGGAGAGAATGGGAGAAGACAAAATGGAAGAAAGAGCAAAGGAGGCACAAAGAAAGGGAGGAAAGAACAGAGAAAGAAAAAAAGGAGAGAGTTTTCTCTTCTTTCAGGGAAGTTATATAGGATGATACAAGTTTAACCTAACGTCAAACAAATTTATAACCTGTCTGGCTTACTGTCACACAGTCTCTCAAAGGAGCCTACCTGGCCTGTCGCCACGTAGTCTTTCAAGGGATGAATAGCTAGGCAGAGAATATCATCATCATGACCCAGGTAAAAACGTTGTGTGTTCTGTTGTCGATTATAAATCACACCCACTGCAGCCACATGGTACACAATTTCACCAATTTGAGTATAAAACAGATTACTTCGACAGTCATAACCTCTGTAACTAATATAGCAAACAAATCATATACAATTAATTTTGGCCTTTTACCTGATCAACACAGAATATAATACAGAGAAGTAGGTACCTTTTAGGTCAGTCATTCATTTTCCAGTTTTACAGGATACTGAACAATTAAAGAAAATACCACTATCTCATATCCCATAAACTTTCATGAATTGCTTTGATTATATATAGCTAAATCTAAGCTATGATACTCAGTGAAAAAAAGGGTACAGAAAAGTATATTACTACTTGTATAAGTGTAATATTAAATTTACACTATAAAAGAAAAAGTTGCTTTTTATAAGTAAAAAGGTATAGAAAAGAACATATTTATATATATACACATAAATATTTCTGAAACTAATAGTTATTACCTTTGGAAGGGGGAAATGATGGCTAATGGGGCAGAAATGGGAGATTTTCAAACTATACTCTCTTATACACACTGTCAAACAATGAGCATATAATATATATTCTAAAAATAAGTTTAAACAAGCTAAAAATATACTTATCCAGGAAAAAGCAATCAAATTTTAAAATGGTAAATATAATTCCATTTATAGCAACCTTTCTTTGTACTCCAAAGAAATCCTATTCATTAACTACAACTGCATAGAAATACTGTCTATTTTAACAACAGAAAAAAATACTTTTACTAAATAATTTTTTTTCAACTTCTTGAAAAGCATTATTAGTTAGGTAAGCAAATGAGTGCTGGATGAGAGGTAAATAGTGGAATTAGAAAATCTGTTGTTTCCAAGCTGAAATGTGAGAACCATATTGCCAGATATTGTAAGAGAATCCAGAAACTATATTTTCCTAAAATTATAAATAAGAAGGACAGGCAAACCACAGTGGCTGAGCCTGCAATTCTAGCACTTTGGGAGACTGAGGTGGGAGGATCACTTGAGGCCAGAAGTTCGAGACCAGCCTAAGCAAAACACAAAAAAATTAGCTGAGCACAGTAGTGGGCACCTGTACTCCCAGCTTTTTAGGAGGCTGAGGTAGGAGGATTCCCTGAACTCAGGAATTTGAGGCTATAGTGAATATGATCATGCATTGCACTCCACTTTGGGTGACACAGGAAGACTCTGTCTTAAGATTTTTTAATAATATTATAAAATAAAATAAAAATAAGAAAATCAAAATGGTCAGACTAAAAGTCACAATATCATTCCAAATTAGACATATTTAAGGGAAATAATTAAGTCTGAAATTTTATTTATTTTGTTTAAAGACATTAATTTCTATAAATATAAAACTTTCATAAAACATTTTGTTTTATTTAACAAACACTTCTATAGGGCTTATGATGTGCCAGATAATGTAGTAAGTCCCCACTAGCATTGCCTTGTTTATTTCCTCATCAAAATCTTATGACATAGGTCCTATTATCTCCATTTTTTTGGTGTTGTTGTTAGAGACAGAGTCTCACTTTATCATCTCAGTAGAGTGCCGTGGAGTCACAGCTCACAGAAACCTCCAACTCCTGGATTTAGGCAATTCTCTTCCCTCAGCCTTTCAAGTAGCTGGGACTACAGGCACCTGCCACAACACCTGGCTATTTTTTTTTTTGGTTGCAGTTTGGCTGGGGCTGGGGCTGGGTCCAGTCCAAACCCACCACCCTCCATATATGGGGCCAGCACCCTACCCAATGAGCCACAGGTGCCACCCATATCTCCATTTTACAGATAGGAGAACAGAACACAGACACGCCATGTAACTTATTCAAAGTCACACAGCTTGTAAGTGTGAATCAAAATTCAAAACACATAAATGAAAAGTAGTCGTTTTATACCCATGAACAAAGTGTAATCGAATACTGTTTCCTGGAGCCCGCTCTCTTCTTTTAGATGTAGCATTTTTTTGTTTCTCTTTGCATTGTTCTTTAAGCTGAGGTAGATCTTCTTTGTAAACCTTTTAAAAAGGTATATAAGCAGGAATATTCTTAGAACATATAGAAAGGTATTTATATATTCTTAACATAACTTTCAGACATTGATCTGTTATTGGTCAGCTTTAACAACTGCCTTAAATGAGAAGGTATTTTATGAAATTCACATTTCTATGTATCACACTAAAAAATATTTAGCATTACAGGAAATCTTTACATTTCATAAGAGAATATTTTTAAGGGAACAAATTTGAGTGTACTATGATAAAAGTCTACAGGCAAATAAAGTAGACACACTTTAGTTAAAGCACTTAACATAGGAGAGCATTTCACACAACAGTGGTTTTAACACTTAAAGGAGGAAAACTGAAATAATCATACATTGCTTAGGAAAGTAAAGCCACAAAAGATAACCACAGATGACTAACATGAAGCAAGATAAAGAAAAAACTGGACTTTCCTGAGAAAAATCATGTGGTAACAAAAAATTACCTGCCGACGGTAGGTAAGTTGTGTCTCTTGTTCAATTTCAGAATCCAGTTCTGGAACATCAGACAAATCTGAATCTGATTCATCACTATTGGAGTCAGCCAGACTTTCTGTAATTTTTAAAAGTGAAATGTTACTTCTTTAAAGAAGATTCATTTTCAAAATAACACTATAAAATTAATGATTGAGAGCTACGAGTTGATATGTAGACAAGCCATAAAACAATCAAATGAAATTAGCTACTTAAATGATACAGGTGTCAATAAACTTTTGCTACATGTTACCTTCCTCTCCACTCACAGCAAACTCAGTATTTCCCTTAACTCCCTTCACTGGCTCCCCACTGACTGCTATATCAAATTTAAATGTCTGTGCAAGTATTAGTAAATATGACCTATAACAAACGTGACAATAGCTTAAAAATACTACATGAAACAAATGAGTTGACTGTAAGGAATTTTTCTTTACCAAAAAAAGCATAACATGAAACCCAGATACTCATCTCCCAGAGGACACACTAAATGTTTATTTTGCTAACATCACTGTTCCTTCACCAGTCATTTGATAGATTAAAATGCGTCCATGCTCTATACTCTACACTCTGTGACATCTGACTTTAAACATATAGACATAACATATATATATGTTTATACATATATATATATATATACACACATATAAATTTTTTTTTGAGTCAGGGTCTCACTTTGTGGCCCTTGGTAGAGTACTGTGGTGTCACAGTTCACACCAACCTCAAACTCTTAAACTCAAGTGATCCACCTGCCTCAGCCTCCCTGGTAGCTGGGACTACAGGCACACCCCCTCCCCCAACACATGGCTATTTTTAGAGACAGGGTCTCACTCTTGCTCAGGCTGGTCTCAAACTCCTGAGCTCAGGCAATCATCCCGCCTCCGCCTCCCAGAGTGCTAAGATTACAAGTGTGACCCACTGCACTGGGTCTAGACAGAATATTTTAATTTAAAATTTCCTCTAATAACAAACCATACTGCTTACTTATAAGACTAGAATGTACTTCAATATAAAATTGTTATTTGGGGATTATTGGAGAGGTAACAGGGATATTGTTTAGGCAGTGTATATCACTCACCTTGGGGTGCTATGTGAAGAGCATCCTTTAGTTTTCTTTCAGGAATAAATTTCCACTGAAAGACAGAGTGATCTGCTCCACCAATAGAAATAACCCACTGATAATCATGTGACCATCTGACATTAGTTACATGAGCTGAATGGCCAATATATTTTCTAAACTTGGCCCCTATAACAAAAATATATCTTTAAACTGATAAATGCCAAGACACAAAAAAATACCATTTCAAACAACAATTTCTATATAAGAATCATTGTGTTGTCTTTCTATTATCTTAATTATGATCAAATGGGGAACACGCTGATACAAAGTTAACTAAATAAACAAAGGAATGAATCTATGTCAAGGCATGCAAATATTTCCTCTACTCATTTACAATATAATTTGGTAGGAACCAAAATGGCTGTGAGACATTATCTTACTGCTTTGAAAAAAGCCTAAGGATCAAGTGTTTTCCTTCTTTTTCTCTCTTCTATCTTTCTCTCTCTCAAAGTCTCTCTTTATTGTCCTGGTTAGAGTGCAGTGGTATCACTGTAGCAACCACTGCAACCTCAAACTCCTGGGCTCAAGAGATCCTCCTGCTTCAGCTTCCTGAGTTACTGGGACCACAGGCACATGCCACCATGCCTAATGTTTCTATTTTTTATAGAGACAGGGTCTTGCTGTTGCTTAGGCTCAACTCCTGACCTATCCTCCTGCGTTCGCCTTCCAAAGTGCTAGGATTACAGGCAGGAGTCACTGTGCCCAGTCTCTAATTTGTTTTACTGTATATTTTCACATAAAGCTAACATAAGCTAAGTATCTTCAATAAACTGCAGCAATAAATAGACTTGACTACATTGAAATTAAGAATCCAACCAAAGACCTCATTAAGAAAATAAAAAGATAAGCCACAAACAGAAAAGATATTTGTAATCCATAAAAATTACAAAGCATTTATGTCACTACAGAGTATATAAAATAACTCCAACAGACCAATAAAAGAAATGATTCAGTAGAAAAATAGGAAAATGATAGAAATCTATGTTTGACAGAAGAGGAAATGCAGAAGACCAAAGAATATTTAAAAGATGGTCAACCTCATTAGTCGTTGGTCACAGAGACCACAATGTATTTATACTAACTGGATTTGCAAAAAGTAGAAAAGGTAGTAATTCCAAGAGCTAAAGAGGATATGAATAAATAGAGTTTGTAAAATGGCATAACCATTTTGGAAAATAATTTGGCATTTTCTTATAAAGTTCATCATTCACATTTTCTATGACCCAACAATTTCACTCCTCGGTATACACTTTTGAAAAACTTGCATACAAGAACAAAAGATTGGAAATGACCCAAATGTCCATTGACAAGAAAATAAATGCATTAATTATAGCAATACAGCAATAAAAAACAAGTGCACTAAAGCTACATGAAACAAAATGGATCCATCTTAGAAAAGCAGCACTTAATACATTCATACTATAAATCTGTTTTCTTGTTTGATATTTGTTTTGTTTTTCCAATAAATTTCCTTCTGAAATCTAAAGAGATTCCTCAAATATAAACTTTTACTGGTCAACAAGAAGTATAGAAGGGGTATTAACAGTGATGAAGGTAGTAGACTAAAGTGCCTTGCCCTTACCTCTCCATTCCTTCCCACCCCTACCTGCTCCGCCTCCCCCACCTGTGTTGCTGCCTGGGAAAAGTTCAGATTATTTGAGAGAGATTATGACAAGAGCAGGAGAATCTAAAGAAAAAAGAGGATAATAATGAAAAAAATGGGGGAGGGGGTAATGCTTTGGACTGGGTAAAGTGGAGTAAATGTGGGATATATATGAAACATATGATCATTCTCTCTGGGTTAACCATACATTTTGTGTTTCAATTACAATGATTCTGTAACATAAACTACTTCTTTTTTTTAATTTAATTTAATTTATTTATTTTTATTTTATTTTTTGAGACAGAGCCTCAAGCTATTCCCCTGGGTAGAGTGTCATGGCATCACAGCTCACAACAACCTCCATCTCCTGGGCTCAAGCGAGTCTCCTGCCTCTGCCTCCCAAGTAGCTGGGACCACAGGCGCCCACCACAACGCCCGGCTATTTTTTGGTTGCAGTGATCATTGTTCTTTGGCGGGCCCACACTGGATTCGAACCCGCCACCTTAGGTGTATGTGGCTGGCGCCTTAGCCACTTGAGCCATGGGCACGGAGCCACATAAACTACTTCCATTATGTAAGATGCTTTTATATTTTGTTAAAGTTGTACTTCTTTGAAGTCATTTAACAGATATCCCCTAACCGGATATCTAAAATATACTATACCTACTTTTTCCTAACCTTAAGGTGGACCAATCGGATGACTTAATAATTAATTTAAAAGAGATTAGGTATAGCAACTCACACCTGTAATACCAGCACTCAGAGTCTGAGGGAGAGGATTACTTGAGTCCAAGAGTTTGAGGCTACAATGAGCCATATGACACACACTCTAGCCTGAGCAACAAGACAAATCCTATTTCTAAAAATAAAAACTAAAAAGATAATAATAATAGGCTAGGCACAGTGGCTCATCCCTGTAATTCTAGCACCTTAGGAGGCAGAAGTAGGAGGATCATGAGGCCAGGAATTCAAGACCAGACTGGGCAACATAGAAAGATCCCATCTCTAAAAAAATTGGCTGGGCATAGTGGCTCACATCTGTAATCCTAGCACTATGGAAGGATCATCTCTAAGGCGGGATGAGCTCTTGCCTGAGCTCACAGATTCGAGACTAGCCTAAGCAAGTGCAAGACCCCGTCTCTAAAAAAACAGCCAGGTGTTGTGGCAGGTGCCTGTAATCCCAGCTACTTGGAAAGTTAAGACAAGAGAATCGCTTGAGCCAAAGAGTTTGAGGCTACTGTGAGCTTTGACGCCACAGCACTCTGCCCAGGGTGACAAAGTGAGACTCTGTCTCAAAAAAAATAAAATAAATTAAAAATAATTAGGTGGTGGTATACACCTATAGTTCCCACCTACTTGGGAAGCTAAGGCAAGAGCATTGCTTGAGCCCAATAGTTTGAGTTCACAGTAAACTGTGATTGTGCCACTGCCATCTAGCCTACTATTATTAAATAATAATAATAGAAAAGAAACTTTTTCTAGTAATACTGCTAACTTCAAAATATGCAAATATGTGAATTTAATAAACATAGAATCTTAAAATATTTCTATTACTCTTTTAAATATGCAACAATCATATCCTATCTTCATTCCCACTAACCTAGCCATAGTCTCAAGGTGAATCACAATGTCTAGGAAAAAAGTCAACTTTACCATAAAATAAATTGCTAACAAAAATCTAACAAAAAAGAAACAAAAATTTATAGTTATATTCTTGAAAGAGTGACTTATCTCTTAAACAAGACTGATTTTCTTAGACTTTAGTACTATTCACACAGTAATTCAAAGGACTATTACACATTTTATAAGTGAATAAAAACTACTGTGCAATAAGATTGTCTTCTCTTATTGCAAAAGATAAAAATCATCAATTAATCCTCTGCACTTGGCTTTGAAAACTCAAAAAGTATTTTTTTTTTCAAAAAGTATTTTTGTTTTTGCTGGAGCTCAGAATATGAAACACTAAACAAAACAATGTCTAAGATTAAGATCTTCAGGATTCTTACTGAATTTCACACTTTCTAACCAGGCAAATTGTCATATGAAAATAGCCGGGCATTGTGGCGGGCGCCTGTGGTCCCAGCTGCTTGGGCGGTGGAGGCAGGAGACTCGCTAGAGCCCAGGAGTTGGAGGTTGCTGTGAGCTGTAATGCCACAGCACTCTACCCAGGGGGACAGCTCGAGGCTCTGTCTCAAAAAAAAAAAAAAAAAAAAGAAAGTCTGCTGTGCTTAGTGATTCTCATATCCTAGCTGTGTAGTGGACATCAGAAATAGGGCACTTTAAATTGCTAGAGATTTAGCTAGCCTTTATTTACATACTTAGCATTACTTCCATAAGTACATACTTTCCCATGTACTAGGAAGCCGACCTCTCACAGGCAGGAATCAACAAAGTAACAAAGCTGGCGGGATTTTGAACTTATCACTTTACCATAGCAGTATAGAGGCACAACAGAAGTATCAACCTGGGTTTGCGGAAAAATTAAGCCCTTCATTGGACATCAGTGGATTACATATTTGAATCAAACAATTCTAGCTGCTCTCTAAATCACCTTTACTAAATTATACTTTAATGTTTATTCAACAGCTTGTATCAAAGAGCCAGGTGAAAACTATTACTCCGTCTGGTTTGGGTATTGATGTTCTCGGAATACACACTCACTGCACCTAATATGAAACCCCACACCACAGGAGACAATTTTTTTGTTTGTTTGTTTGTTTGTTTCAGTTTTTGGCTGGGGCTGGGATTAAACCCACCACCTCCGGTATATGGGGCTGGCGCCCTTTGAGCCTTTGAGCCACAGGTGCCACCCGAGACAGTTCTTTTTGTGTATGTATGTGAGACAGAGTCTTACTTTGTTGCCCTTGATAAAGTGCCATGGTGTCAAGCTCACAGCAACCTCAAACTCTTGGGCTCAAGTAATTCTCTTGCCTCAGCCTCCCAAGTACCTGGGACTACAGGCACCCACCACAATGCCTGCTATTTTTAGAGGCAAGTGTCTGGATCTTGCTCAGGCTGGTCTCAAACACGTGAGCTCAGGCAATCCACACACTCAGGCTTCCCACACACTCAGGATTACAGGAGTGAGCCACCGCACTCAGTCCTACAAGAGACAGTTCTTTTTTTCTTCTTCTTCTTTTCTTAAGAGACAGAGTCTCACTTTATCGCCCTCAGTAGAGTGCGGTGGCATCACAGCTTGCAGCAACCTCCAACTCCTAGGCTTAGGCAATTCTCTTGCCTCAGCCTCCCGAGTAGCTGGGACTATAGGCGCCTGCCACAACACCTGGCTATTTTTTGTTGCAGTTTTGCTGGGGCCGGGTTTGAACCGCCACCCTGGGTATATGGGGCCGGCATCCTACCCACAGAGCAACAGGCGCCACCCAGGAGACAGTTCTTTAAAAAATAAATCTACCATGTTTCCCCAAAAATAAGACACTGTCTTATATTTATTTTTTTTCAAGAAGACACACTAGGGCGATGTCTTCCTCTCCTTTCAGGAGCTGTCTTCCTCTCCTCACCGAAATGCATGGCATGGTTATGCAGATACACCGTTTAGCCACACCCATCACTAGGTCTTATTATTGGGATAGGGCTTATATTTAACAAATGCATAGAAATCCTCCTAGGGCTTATTTTATGGGTAGGTCTTATTTTCAGGGAAACATGGTAGGAAGAAACTGTGATTTCCTAAGGAGCAAGTATGCTTTTATTTTTTTTTTTAAATCTACAATGAGAACTATTTTGTGCCCTGTTTTATTTTATTTATAGTTTCTTGGGAGCTCAAAATCAAATCTGATGTTTGACTATTATCATTTTCTTTATCTTGTTTTAATGTGGTACTTCTATGGTAATTTAAGATGGTACTGAGTCTCTATTTGTATAATTACTTTAGTACTTAATGGACTTATTATACGTAGACTCAAATAAGGCATGGAATAAATAAATGACTATAAATTTTTTTATTTTTATTTTTTGGAAACAGTCTCACTTTGTCACCCTTGGTAGAGTGCTGTGGTGTCATAGCTCACAGGAACCTCAAACTCCTGGGCAAGCGATTCTCTTGCCTCAGCCTCCCAAGTAGCTGGCACCTGCCACAATGCCTGGCTATTTTTAGAGACCAGGTCCTTCTCTGGTTTAGGCTACTCTTGAACCTATGAGCTCAAGTAATCCACCCACCTCGGCCTCCCAAGTGCTGGGATTATAGGCATGAGCCACCACGCCTGACCTGAATGACTATAAATTTAACATTTCCTTTGATTATCCTGGGTCTCTGAACAAAGTGATAACATTTTAAAAGATACACAAGAAAAAGAGGCAATGTAGAAAATAGCCAATGATACAACTTCACTCTTTTTTTGGACACCTATTACTAAAAATAAATGTTAAAACAATATATGCTAAGGATTTAAGCAAAAACACATTTAACACATGAAAACCAACCAACAAACCAACAGTTTTCAAACTGTGACCTGAGTTTGTACAACTGACAATTTCCTCAGAATTTTTGAAAAAAGACCTAAGAATAATGTCTTCTAAAAGATATACGGTCAACACGATAAATGATTGAAGGTAATAGGCCACAGGAAAAATATAACCACCACTGTATAATCTAACTATATGAAGCAATTCAAGAAGTGAGAAGAAAAATTTTTGTTAAACAAGAAAACAATATAGTCCATTCCAAAAACATGAATTCAAAATTATTTTCTAATAAAAATTTCATGACTAAAATGTAATATATGACAATAATATCACCAATCAGTACACATTAAAAAATATGAAATTTTATCTGTCTCAAGACTAATTTTCTGCAAGAACATAAATGTCTTTTATAAAAGAGGTTACTTAATATTTTAAAGTAAAAGATACCTTTTCTTAAACATGGATATCTGAATAACTTTATAATTCCATAGTCATCCGCTGTAACTAAAACTTGGCCAATATAATTTCCATCTACTGAATTTATATCATTAATATCTGAATATTTGGGCCAAATTCCATTTACTTCAAGGCCTGAAACACATGTCCATGAGGCCCAACGAACACTTTTTGTTTCTTCTGTACTTGTCACTTCTTTTCCTCCTAAAAATAAATCAGAATCTTAATTTAAGAAATTATTTCATTTGATTTTCACTCAAGCTTAAACTGTAACTAACATGGTAAACTCCAAAATTTTAAATTATCTTCCCATCTCAGTTAGACAAGAATATATAAATAGGTAGCTCACGTTGAGTAATGAGAAGAGAAAACTGAATGAAAGAATTTTTTTTAAGCTGGGCAAGGTGGCTCACACCTATAATCCTAGCACTCTGCAAAGCTGAGGTGGGTGGATTGCTTGAGTTCAAGTTCAAGACCAGCCTGCACAAGAGCAAGACCCCATCTCCAGAAAAATAGAAAAAATTAGCCAGATGTTATGGCAGGCACTGTAGTCCCAACTACTCAGGAGGCTGAGGCAGGAGGATTGTTTGAGCCCAGGAGTTTGAGGCTGCTGTGAGGTAGGCTGATGCCACAGCACTCCAGTCCAGGGCAACAAAGTGAGACTCTACCTCAAAAAAAAAAAAAAAATTTTTTTTTAAAAAGTTACTACCAAAATTATACTAATTTGGAGGCATACATAGACTTGAAAAATTATCTTAGCAGGTTCACCTATGTGGAAAGTAAAACTGAATTTATTAAAATCATCATATAGATTAATCACAACAGGTTAAAATATAAAAAAAGATAAAAGCCATAAAAAAGGAAAAGCAGGTATTAAAAAAGGAAACCTAAGATACATATCGTTCAGAAAAAAGAACTGAAAAAGATTAAGAAGAAAGATGAGTGTGTAGTAATATATTTACATTAGGTAAGAGGGCATTAGGATTCAGTCTGTCTTCATTACACATGGATTGTTAATGAAAAACTTTTGGTGAGATATATTAACTTCGTTATGCAGCTGTTGTTATGAAGTAAGTTTTTGGAATACAGTAACTAATTCACTAAGCATCATAAGAAAGTACTAAGGCGGGGGCGGTGCCTGTGGCTCAAAGGAGTAGGGTGTGGGCCCCATATTCTGGAGGTGGTGGGTTCAAACCCGGCCCCAGCCAAAAACTGCAAAAAAAAGAAAGTACTAAGAGGTAATATTTTAATGATTCTTTTATTCCTCTGTTTTAATCTTTAATTGGAATTTTTTTCAAATTGAGGTTATATTATTTGCAAAGTTAATTTGAGATAACCACAAAAAATTACCCCAAATCATTTATGATCACACATTTGTAGCAGTAATATTTACTTAATCAGATCCACCCACAAAAATTGCATTCTGATTCTCTTATATACAATAGGACTGCCATATACTACTTTCATGGTATAGAATGGGTCTGTCTTAGATCCTCCAGGGAAAGGAGTTTTAATAAAAACATTTAGAATAGTGGTTGCCTAGGAGAAATGGGGGTCAGGGAAATTTTGGTCAAAGGTTACAAAGTTTCAAGTTATACAGAATAAGTAAAGCCTAGAGATCTGATGCACAGTATGTTGAGTATGGTTAATACTACTGTATGGTATACTTGAAATTTGCTAAGAGAATAGATCTTGTTGTTGAGACAGAGTCTCACTCTGTGCCCTGAGTAGAGTGCAGGTGCATCATCATAGCTCAATGCAACCTCAGACTCCTGGGTTTCAGGGATCCTTCTGTCTCAGCTTCCTGAGTAGTTGGGACTACAGGCCCATGCCAACTGGTTTTTGCTTGTTTGTTTTTTTCCCCTTAATTTTCTGTGGAGACAAGGTCTCACTCTTGCTTAGACAAGTCTTCAACTCCTGAGCTCAAGCAATCTTCCTGCCTCAGCCTCCCAGCATGCTAGAATTAGGCAGCACTCACAGCAAGAAAATGGATCTTAGATGTTCTCACCACACGCAAAAAAATGGTTAACTATGCAAAGTGATAGATATGTTAATTAGCTTGATTGTGAAAATCATTTCACAATTATATGTGTATCAAAACATGACACTGTACTCTGCAAATATATATGTCAGTTGTACCTCAATAAAGTCAAGGTGGAGGGGAAACAAAGGAATTTTAATAATAAGGCAGCCTTATAGAAAAGACCACAATGCCTAAAATATTAGCTCAGATCTTTGATTTCCTATAATCAAATGTAACTTACACTCTGGTTCTAGTGTAAACATCTATAAACAACATACAATTTACTAGAAATGTTTACCTGGCATCCTATAAAAAAGTCTTTTCCCATTGCCATCATTTGTCTGTAAATATCTACTGTCTGAGGACCAGTCCAGATGAGTAATGAAACTAAGTGATCCAACACATTCGCCAACTTTTTTATAACGCTGAGCAACTCCATAAATATCAACTGAGCTGTCATTGCATCCAACAGCAAGGTAAGTTCCGTCAGGTGAATATTTTAACTCATGAATTGCCTCCTTCCTATCTTTAATATGTACAACTTCTGTCATATCTCTGTTAAAAAGAAAAAAATGATACTATATGAACAAAAGTCACACAACAGAATTTAGTTCTCAAACTTATCTAAAATGACTGTCAGGCTATACCAAGTATTTGTAAATTATAAAATAAGGCCACCATTATTAAGTTCAGGAATAATTATTTTGCTGAACAGAAACATATGGGGACACTATATGTTGACAGCACAGAAAAATGCTAAATTTCAGTTTCTAAATTACTTTAAGTATTTTAAGGATCCATATTAAAATTTGGGAGTCAATAAAGGAATTAAGGAAATAAAGTCATAGATTTTTATGGTAAAACTTCTTCCTAAATATTAAGTTTATAATAATTCTTAATAATTATATTTATATAATTATATTTATATAATTTTTGCAATGAGGCAAATGTACAAAATGGCATTCAGCAAACAAGAAAGGAGTTAATTCTTATTACTTCAGTCATACATTTAAATACACAGATTTTTTTTTTTTTTTGAAACAGAGTCTCACTATGTCACCCTTGGTAGAGTGCTACTGCGTCACAGCTCACAGCAACCTCAAACTCTTGGCTTATGCGATTCTCTTGCCTCAGCCTCCCAAGTAGCTGGGACTACAGGCACCTACCATAATGCCCGGCTATTTTTTGGTTGCAGTTGTCATTGTTTAGCAGGCCCGGGTCAGGCTTGAACCCACCAGCTTTGGTGTATGTGGCTGGCGCCCTACTCACTGAGCTACGAGTGCTGAGCCTAAATACACAGCTTCTATAAGTATAACTAGTTATTTTAATTTCAACCTCTTTGACCTTCATTATAATAAAACACAGATTTGTTGCTTAGGGACCATGTTGACCAGTGAAGTCGAACATTTTTTTCAGTGATGCCTTATAACTGAGTTTCCAAAATAATACAGATATTGACAACAACCATAAAAATGGATAAACTGTTTAACACTACTGTCTTTCCCAAGTTGTACAGTTGGTGGGGAGGAGAGAGAAAAGTTAGGGAGAAGGATCCAGGGAGAGAGCTGAGGTACAAGGAGGAGAGAGTCCTATTTCCAGTAAGAGTCAAGGACTTTTCTCCATATAAATTTGGCCTCCCACATCTGAAATGCTCCAAGTAAATAATTTCAAAAGCAGAAGTTTAAGTGGAAGTTTCCCAATTTTTAAAGTTTCTAAATGTACAATTTATAGAAATCAAACTCAAATTTCTTCCAGTAACTCTAAATATTTTGCTTTAGGCAATACATACTTGAATTCACCTTCTTCTATAAGAGATGGATATAAAGTAAATATGATAAAATGTGATTACTCCAAAAAGCATGTGAAGTTCTATAAGAAAGATTGAAAGAAGGGTTAAGACTAGACTAAAGGTGGGAAGGGGCCAAGGAAGGGTAACACCTGTTTCGAGCATAGAACCTGAGAAGTTGGTGAAGTATAAAAGAGGAGAGAGGGCTGTCCAAGAAGACACAGCATGAGCCAAAACACAGCAATATGCTGTTATGTGGCACCTTTAAAGAAAAGCCACAAAGTATTATGGGTACAAAAATAAGTGGGTAAAGTGTTAGTGACGGAAGCGATGTAAGAGATAGATTAAGGACAATCTGTGATAGATCTGGTATGTTGCCAAGGAATTTAGACTTTACCTTGAAGTTAATCATATAGAGAAAGATAAAAAAAAAATGGAAGAAAAAACAGTGTATGTGGGAAAGTACCAGATATTCAACAAAAATTCATTTCCCTTTCTTCCTAGATCAAATTTCTCAGGCTCCTTTGCAATTAGTTTAATCCTGTGCCTCAGTTCCAACCAAAGACAGGTTGATGGAATGATGTGAGCCATTTTCCAGCAATGCATTTTTAGGAAGCTGATATACCTAAGGTATACCCTTCTGCTGGCTAGATGGTAGATAATCTCTGATGATGGGCCCTAGTGAGTGATGAAACCACAACAAACAGAAAAGGACCTTGGTCTTTGAGTTACCTGGGAAAAGAAAGCCACTCATTGACTTCTGACTGTTACATGCACAAGAATGAACCTCACAAGGAATTGCCTTGAGCTCAGGAGTTCCAGACCAGCCTGAGCAAAGAGAGACCCAGTCTCTACCAAAAATAGAAAAACTAGCCAGGTCTGACAGCAGGTGCCTGTAATCCCAGCTCTCAGGAGGATGAGATAAGGGGATTGCTTGAGCCCAAGAGTATGAGGTTTCTGTGAGCTATTACACCATGGCACTCAACCCCAGGGCAACTAAATCTGTCTCTAAAAAAAAAAAATTTTTTTTGAGCTACTACATAGCTAAGGGCCTATTAATTACAGCAGTTAACGATGATTCTAACCACTAATGCAGTATTAGAATTAGAAATAGAAATTGAAAAGGAACTCTAAGATAGATGTAAGATTGTATGTAGTATTTAAAGCTTCTGTACTTTTTTCTAAAGCTATTATAATTTTAAAGTATAATAATCACTATTGCCTTAGCCTCTGTATCTTGCAAATTCCTCTAAGCATAGACTCATAGAGATACCTCTACATTTCCCAGTGACTCCTTCCTTTATGTTATAATTAAATCTATGTATCTTATCTCCCTTTTTTCTGTATCTACCCATCCATCTCTATCTATATGGAGCAAGATTTTTTAAAAACCTCCAAGGCACTATTTGATGGCTTTTAATTTTATACCTCCTTCTTTAAAAATATTATCATTATAATTTTCCTTTTTTATGGTAAAAAGTTATATATTTAGATAATTTCAAAAAAAAAAAAACAGATCATGCCAAATCTTATAGAGAATAGAAAAGGAGAAATAGTTCAAAATCATTCTACTTAATCTGCATACACTTGATATCAAAATTGGAGAAAATATATTATTATAATGGGGAAATTACAAACATATTTCTGTTTTTTGAAAATTATCTTTTACTTTTATAAATATTAGTTATTTTTTGAGACTTTGGAAAAAAAAAATAAGAAGTTAACTTATGACTCCATACTGGACCTCAGAGTCAAAGCATTCTATAATAGACATACTCTTATTTGACAATGTGAATGCTACTTTCTTTGCATTATTATTATTATTGCTTAATAGTTTGATGCAGCAATCATCTGATTTCTTTTCTGAATCTATTTATCTTCGTTCATTCTTTACGAGGTTTTTGTTTCTAGTGCTTATCTTAAACATTGTTATTGTTATTAAATTTTAAGCCTTTTTGTGAAGGCAAAAAGTGAAAACCTAATAAACACATGCATATGTAAAAAAAAAAGTTATATATTTAGAATTAGCCAGTTGGACTTGGTTTAGATGATCCCAATTTTGTTGGCAACATCCAAAGCATGATAATCAGGAGTCAGTCGAACATATGCTGCCTTCTCGCCATCAGGCCCAATCAGGGTGTTGACTTTGGCCACATCAATGTCATAGGGCTTTTTCACAGCCTGTTTGATCTGGTGCTTGTTGGCTTTGACATCCACAATGAACACAAATGTATTGTTGTCCTCTATCTTCCCTGACTCAGTAGTCGGGGGAACTTGATGGCACAGTGGCCAAGCTTGTTTATCCTGGGGGCACTCTTCCAAGGATATTTAGAATCTTTGGCCACCGGAAGGTGGGTGATGTACAGATCTCTTTTTTTAGCAGCTGTGGATGTCTGTTAGCACTGCCTTCTTGGCCTTCGATGCCTTTGCTTTGGCCTTCCCTTTGGAAGGGGCAAGAACTTCCTTCTTAGCGCCATCTTGTGAAAAGTTTTTTTGTTTGTTTTGTTTTTGTTTGTTTTTTTTTTGAGACATCTTACTTTGTCACTACCAATAGGTGCTATGGTGTTATAGCTCATACCAACCTCAAACTCTTGGGCTCAAGCAATCCTCTTGCCTCAACCTCCTGAGTAGCTGGGACTATAGCTGTGAGCCACAACACCTAGCTGATTTTAGAGACAGGGCCTCACTCTTGCTCAGGCTGGTTTGGAACTCCTGAGCTCAAGCAATACACCTGCCTCAGCCTCTCTGAGTGCTAGGATTACAGGAGGGATTATAGGCAAAAGCCACCATGCACAGCTATAATTATCATTTTCTTCACAAATTTTAATTAAAATTCTTCTTGAAAATTCTTCATAATTAAATTCATTTTATAGAATTTTTATTCAAGAGATTTAACTACTTCCAATGAGAGAAATGGCTTATGTCCTACATTTTCTGATACTTTACCTCCTGTCCACCAACATACACACACACTCACTCTCTCTCTCTCTCTCTCTCACACACACACACACACACAGAAACAGTAGAAAACAATGATGGAGAGATTTGGGTTGAATGATTGATTTTATAATATGTATTATGTTGCTATGTCAACATTATGAATTATATAACAACCCTCTCACATGAAAATGTTTCTCTGACAAATTTTAAGGAAGACTAGTAGATGAAAATTTGTTAATTTTTTAAAATTAAGTCTTCTGGGAAACTGATACGTGAATGGTATGGTTTATTTTTAAAAAGCAGAGGGAGGCCAAAGTCTGGGAATACTCACACATTAACAGCTCGTAATACATCACAAAGTAAATGTACACAGGTTTGATCACAGCATGTAACAGAGGAATCATCCTATTCAAGGGAGTCTGGGGAGACCTATCAAAGAAGTGGCGTAGATAGCTATGATAGCTAAACTTTATTCTGATGAATGAATGGGACTTAGCTCAACATAAGACAGGAACTCAGAGATAAAAGACCCATGTTCCAGGAGAGACAAACAATATATGAAAGAGCTAATGGCGAGAGAAAGAATTTAAGTTCCACCTGAGAAGGCCAGTGTTGATGCACTCACACAATCAAGGGGGTTTTGCATTGCTGTGAGTTGAGACTGGTAAGGAAGTCTGAGGGAATATCATGAAGGCCCTCATAGGTCTAGTTAAGATTTTTGGCCTTAATCTGTAAGTTTAAGCTAAGGTAGGACATACAAAAATCAGATAACTGCCCTGGTAAAAAAATAAATTGAAGGAGTATAATAGAAGGACTAAGACCAATTAGA